GAGTTTACTCCATAAGTGTGCAATGCAGTGGGATAGACAATTTGAAAGGGAGCTCATTTCATTTGGGAAACTGATTGCTTCAAACCATTTCACTCCAGCACTCTGACACAAAAGACAATTGAATTTGCAGTGTTCACTTCCAGTGTGGTGAAAAGACAATAAAATATGAGATGGTATGGGGTTGCATGAGTGCGTGTGGCATGGGGCAGCTTACACATCTGGAAAGGCACCATCAATGCTGAAAGGTATATCCATGTTCTAGAACAACATATGCTCCCATCCAGACGTCGTCTCTTTCAGGGAAGACCTTGCATTTTCCAACATGACAATGCCAGACCACATACTGCATCAATTACAACATCATGGCTGCGTAGAAGAAGGACCCGGGTACTGAAATGGCCAGCCTGCAGTCCAGATGTTTTCTATGGGTGAAAGATCTGGACTGCAGATCTTTCACCCATAGAAAATTCTATGGGTGAAAGATAGACATTCCTATTCCTAAACTTGAGCAACTTGTCTCCTCAGTCCCCAGACGTTTGCAGACTGTTATAAAAAGAAGAGGGGATGCCACACAGTGCTAACATGGCCTTGTCCTAACTTTTTTGAGATGTGTTGATGCCATGAAATTTAAAATCAACTTATTTTTCCCTTAAAATTATACATTTTCTCAGTTTAAACATTTGATATGTCATCTATGTTGTATTCTGAATAAAATATTGAAATGTGAAACTTCCACATCATTGCATTCTGTTTTTATTCACAATTTGTACAGTGTCCCAACTTTTTTGGAATCGGGTTTGTAGTTAGACTTTTTTCAAACCATGATTCCTGACTAAATGTATAATTAAATGAAACATTATGAAGATTCATTCACTGCATCTTATGTCTCATAAAATAGACCGCAACGATATAAAAGTAATATAGAATTAATATAGTAATTACTAATATAGTAAGTACTTTTATTATGCCTAGACTATATGGTAATATTATCTGTGGTTGATAGTGTTAAAATTTAGTTTCTTTGTTATTGGCATTCTGTTTTCTCATGAAGTATGCATACTATGCTAAGGTACTGTGGGGAAAAAACGCTAACGATTGTTTATACAATTATTTTAGGACTGTGAATACGCCACTCTTGCCTTCACCTGCATCTCGCACAGGAAGAGGATGCTCATTCAGTTTTCAACTCCATTCAGAATCTTAGAGTTAAGTGTGCATTCACTATTTTACAGATGTTACTTTCATTTGATTTATTTACTGTATGGTAAAATATGTTTGCTATGTGGTAATTGTGTTCTTTGTTTCGATAAATTAGTACTAGTATCAGTTAACATCACAATAATGTTAATAATGTAATCTGTGTAAACAGCATGCTTGCTTTTTTATTTTTTTATCGGTCATGGAAAACAGAGACTGATGTTGACATGTTCCACAGACTCTGAGATTCCTTCCTACACAGGAACCTGGACCACAGCTGAGACCATGTGATGCAAACACTCCCATGAGTCTCTTCAAAATGTTGTTCAAGTTTCCTGCCGCTGTTTTGGATATTTTGGATATTACACCCATGACATCTTGACTCTTGTGTTTTAAACTTGTGTCTTGTCTAATAAACTTTGTAACTGCACTCACAAGTGAATCTCAAGTTATTGTATGTGATAGTTGTATATTTTTGGTTTGTAGTTTATTTAGAATATATATATTTATTTTTTCCTCACATTCTTTCTTGTAGCAATTCCCTCCCAGTCACACACCTGACTGAAAGGCTCATTATGCAGCTCATTATCCAGGCCTTTGTCTTCTCAGGTGTGAATCACAGCATTATGCATCATCATTCACGCCTCCTCGCATATACCTTTTCTACACAAAAAGTGTCTTAGAAAATTTAAATCAATATATTGTTTTCTATGAATGAGTAAGATGATTTTCACATTATTTTGAAGTAAAAACTCTAGACTTCAAGATCCCGTTCTCAAAAGTCTTGTGAACAAATGTTATGTATGTGTTTTATGGCCTTATTTCAGTGACTTTAATATTTTAGTTTTTCACTAAGCACGCATAAACTTTTTTGAGTAGTTTAAAAATTGTGTACTTTTACTTTTACTTGAGTACATTTTAAGTGATGTATCGGTACTTTTACTCCGCTATTTTCCTCCGTTTGTGGTTGTTACATGCTTTTTAATTTTATTTGTATCCATCAACGTGATTGGATAGAGAGATAGTAATAGGTCTCGTGACTTTCGTCAAATCGAATTGTGCATAGAAAAACTTTAACCGCCAACTGTTTATCATGGCTGCTGGAAGCACATTCTTCAAGCATCAATTCAGTCACATCTTCCTCTAACTTAATATGTTACAGTACATTTCGGATTTCTGCTTACTAAATTTGGGTTAGAATTGTTAAAATTGTAAGATAAATTATCAAGTTTAGTTATTCTTATTTATTTATTGCAAAACGCTAAAACTGGCACCGTTTTGGAGAGAAATAACTTTCATCTTTTCTTCAACTGAATTCTGTTTCCATGCTGTTTTGATGTATTTTAAAGAGTTGGCAGTCAAAATTAAAACTGCTGAATAAAAGATATTCTTCATTCTTTATGACAAACAATATAATGTGAATTACAGAATGTACAACATTTTTAAAATATATAAATTGCGGTGTACAGCGTTTATTATGAGAGGGTAGAATCCACAGCTCAGTACTCACTACTCAATACTCATGAGTACTTTTAAATAGGCTACTCTTTTACTCTTACTCAAGTAGTTTTTTTGGACAAGTACTTTTACTCTACTCGCGCTATATTTTTTGGAAGGTAATGGTACTTTTACTTGAGTATATTTTTTCAGAACTCTTTCCACCACTGGCCCCAAAACACCCTCGAACTATTGGTCTTTCTTTGGTCTGTTTGAGGGTTTTACAAAAATGTTACCAATGAAAAGCATTCAAAAGAGCTTGTGACTAAACCTCGTAACTCCATTGGATCTTCAAACTGTGAGCGAAACCTCAAAACTCCACCCGCCTCCATTCAGAATGAAGCGTTGCACACAGTCTGGATATGGATCTCCGCTTGTTCACAATGCAAGGGTAAATAAAGAACTGATGTTTGAATAAGTACAGCATTTCCTTTACTCAAGAAACACTATGTATGTAAAGGCTAATGTTTTGTGTGTGTGTGTGTGTTTGAAGAGCGGAGAAGAGTCTTTTGCCGTCTAGTAACCAATATACTTTTGTACGTTTTAAATATCTTGTGCATAGCACTTCATCTTTTATATTATGAGATTTTGGCAAAGTGTATTAAAGAACAAGAAAATCTGAGCTCCCATATAGCTACAATAAACTTTATAACCTGTAAATTGATGAAAACATAATGCGATGCACTCACTGCTTCAGATGCGGCTGTTCTAATGACAAAACACATATTGCCATCATTTGCTGGTGAAAAACCTTGTTAACTCCATTTGAGCTAGATTTTCATAAAATGTTAATTGCAAGTGTCTGATAAAGCCATAATACCATCTCTGACATTGCAGTCTTTAATGAAAAAAATATAAAAAATCCCCCCTTTGTATTATTTTTTTGTAGTTCAGTGCTTAGTGGTGTGCTGTGGGATTTTTTATTTATCAATAATAATCTGCCGTGGCAGAAAAAAGGTTGGGAAACACTGCCATGGAGAACTCTTCTTTCAAATTACAGAAGAACCAAGAGATCCTGGTTTAGATGGGGGGAGCCTGGCATAGATAATGCTACCAGAGAGATATAGACTGTTTATTCTTGCCCCAAAAGAGACCTTTAACCCCGGTTCATAGAGGAATGGAACCCCTGTAGTGTCACTCCATGGCACATTGTACTCAGTGTGCTCAAGTAAGTGCTTATATGGAGCCCACAGTTAGAGTTAACATGTAGAGAAGTAAACTCATGGGGTCATAAGATGTTTAGAAGGGGGAGCATGTGACCCCCTAGAATATAATTTTAGACTGTAGTGGGTAATATAATTTAATTTACCGTTGTTTTGTTTCTTTTAGTCTCTCATGCAGTGCTGAAATGATAATGGAGTATAACAGATAACACTCTGTTCATATACAGAGTCACAAAATATGTGTGTCTTTAAGAATGCCGTTATCTTTAGTAAGTTTGAATATTGGGCACATGTGAAAAACATGCTTTTGCCCTACAAGTTAGAATGAGCTTTATTTTCATTTGTTTGTGTTAAGACCCTCCCTCTCTGGGAAATGGGAAAATGTGAGTGGTTGAGAGGGAGAAGGGGAGAGAAAGAGAACGGGGCTGTTTGGAGCAATTGAGCTGAGTAAATACAGTAAATTAATCGGTAACTCATCAAAGAAAAGTAGTTTATTTTAATTCTAAACAACTTTCTAAGAGTAAATGTCTTCATTCAGTGACGTCAGACGTAATGCATAATCTCTTAGGCATTAGTATACTGAACCTGGTGCTGCTCCTTACTAAGCTGTTAAAAAAGGTAGGGGCGCTACATTACATAAGGAGAAAAGTTTAAGAAAAGTAATTATTTTAGAGACATCTAGAATTACTCAGACAACCTTAAAATAAGAGAAGTGATTTTCAAACTTTCTAAAAATGTAAAAGATAATCAGGTGGTCTGTAAAACAAAGATAAAGAACAGAGTTTCAAAAGTTTTATTTCAGTTCTAATGTAATTTGTTATACTTTTGCCACACACTTTGGACATTGTTTTATTTAATTTACATGTATTAGTAACATGTGGTGCATCAATGGCTTGCATTGTTTCCACACAACAAATATATAATTGATACAGTAAAAAAAAGTCATCATCATCAACATGTGACAGTTAAGCTAAATCAATATAGTTTAATACATATGACAAAAAAAACGAAAAAAAAACCTACTAGCCATCACAAATTGTACATTGTTTTCAACAAAATAGGAGGGGGGGGGGTCTATAATACAGGTATGATACAATAATGTTTAAGATAACAAAAATCTATATTTTAACAAAAAAAATTTACTCAAATATTTCTACTTCTTTTTTTAAAAAGTCTCATTACTTCCTTCCGTAGTTTTGTCAGATTTAGTCCATAAATAAGGGGATTTAACATGGGAGGAACGAGTAGAAATTCTAGTGCCATGAAATTACGCAAATCTTGTGGCATACTCCTAGAACCATACCGAGTGTACAGCACATCAAACAGCAATGCAACAGTTACATTGAGCAGTGCAAGCAGATGTGGTACACATGTTTGTATGAATTTTTTTCTGCCCTCTGTTGACTTTCTGCATTTTCCAATCAAGTGAATGTATGAGCAAAATATAAATACTGCATGTCCAAAATATATAATAATGATTACATACCCAATCACATTATTTACTGTTGTAGAAAAACAGGACAGTTTAACAACTGACCAGTTTTCACAATATAGCTTTTCAATACTAGAGCCACATAAGGTTAGCCTTGATGTTACTACAATTAAAACACACATGCAAAAAAATGGAGAAAGCCAGCAGAAAAGGATGCATTCAAGTATTCTCTGATTGGTCATTACTGAATGATACTCCAGTGGTCTACATATTGCCACATACCTGTCATATGCCATCACTGTTAATGTTGAAAAGTCACACAAAACATATGAATAAATGACAAATATCTGAATCAAACATCCAACATACGAAATCAAGTGATATTGGGATAATAAATCATACATGAATTTAGGGTAGAATCCAGCTGTGCCAAAAAGTCCATTCATACACAAATTACATATAAATACATACATTGGCTCATGAAGCTTCTTATGCAAGATTACAGTGTAAATAATGATCCCATTACACAACACGATTAATGGATAATACAGTGCAGTCAAAGAAAAAAACACAAATCTGTTTCCCATCATTTCATTTAGTCCAGAGAGTGTAAATACTAAGACAATGGACTCATTCTCCAGTGGTGGCTGCATCTGGAATAATATGCAAAGACTTATTATAATGCTATCATTATTCATTAATTAGAATACAATTATTTGTAAGTTAATTTGAAATTAAAGGTTGAATGACATATATCTTACCACAGTTTCTGTTTGTATGTTTGACAGAGTGTTGTGTAAAAGGTTGATTTGGTCTGATATATATGGAGACTGGTCTCATGCTAATTGCCTTGTTTACGAACACTTGCAACAAAAAATCTATCTTGAGAATCGTTTTAAAAATATGTCAAACTATACAGTATCAAACGTCATGAAAGTAATGTGCAAATAAGCACTCACATATAAATGTTGTCATTAAATAATATTATTCATTTTTGCAAACTCTGTTCTTTCAGTGCAGTTGTTAATTACTTTTGCGGTATGTAAATGTAATAACATTATTATATACAGTATTTCACATTGTATTTGTTTTGTATGTTTTTTTTCCTCTGCAATATGCTTTATATTTGTAAATGTCATGTTTGAAAAGAGTTTTTATTCCAGAATCTTCATTAAAATCACATGCAAGGAATTAATCACAAGGAACAAACAATATTATCAATGTGACAAAAAAGCTAGGGTAGTGATGTAAGTGCAAAACAAATTAAATTATGTGCAGCTATTATAAGGAGTTGTGTAACTACAGTGCAAAAGCCTTTGATGGCCCCCCACCACCCCCCATAGCTGGAAAAAAATGTTAAAAGAAACAATAAAATATAATACTGTCAATTTATTTACAGTTTTCACTCAGTCACTCACTCGATATAATATAATTCTTAAAGGAACTGCAGTCATGCCTGGCTCCACAAGGGGCTAGAGTGGGTGGTTTGGTTCACCCAGGCAATCATTCAGACTTCTATGCCCCAACATACGTGAGAAAGTTGCAGCTGAACCTGCTATAAGTTACGCCACCGCTGTCAAGCTCCAAAAAATGTTTTTCATACTTTGAATTACAATGCTTAACAACAGCAACTACAGTAACATAAAGATGTGAGTTTATATTCTTGATAAATCAGTTGTGTCTTATATTTTACTCATAAATTTAAAATTCTAAAAATCCTTTGGGAACTCATGACTATTTATCTCTCCAGGTTGTTATCATGGAGATATGTAATTTGACATTTAGCTAGCAGGGCTTAATGGGGCCATGACAACCAGCAAAACCTTGTGGAAAACAAAACGTGCATCTTTGCAAATTTGTAGGGGCCTATACCAGGATCTCTGGGAAAATGCAGGGAAACAACCTGGACAGATGGACAGACTCGGGACTGTAGCATATTAGCTCAAAATGGAAATGTATATAAATAATTACAATTAATAATAATAAGTCCCTGTAAAGTCAATATTAAGTATGTGTTCTGAGTTTTTCACACCACAGAAAAATGTGTTATTAACCACTCAGCCAAATTTGAATGATAAAAAAATCCGCTAAGTACATAAAATAAGTTATCAAAATCTCGAAAAAATGGCCGGTATCCTCTGCTCTCAAATGCTAGGGGCGTGTCCGCTGTCTGCACTGAAACCATGCCCACTCGTGGGAAAGCTGCCACCTCTTAACTGTCAAATACCACTACAGCCTGAATGGATGCTCCTAGCAGCTTAATAGGATTTACAAAGCCATACATGTTTGAGCCAACAAGAATCCAATTCAGAGGACCGGCTACCCGAGAATCAACCTTGTCCCTCTCGGTCTGCTACAGAATGGTAAGGACACCGAGCTGTTTCGTAAGTTATCGCAACCAGGTGATTTGCATTTCTGTGATGAAGGCATAGCTAGCTAGCAAACTGTAGGCTGTAGTAACTAACGGTACTGACAGTAACTCGTGATTGTGCGGGTGAATTGATTAGAATGTGCTCTAGTTATAGTGTTAGGGGAGGGGCCATGATCAGTGGCTCCAGTGCGTCATCGAGCCACCGTTTTAGCCCCGCCCAAAAACTCCTGAACACAAAATTGGTGAAAAACTGTTTAACTGTCTAACTCCACTATTCAGTACTACGGAATTCACAGTATTTGCAATGTGTTTCAGCAATACATTTGTAACATTTATAATGTTTAGAAACAATTCTCATAATTGACAGTACTGCCAGTAGTACTGTAGCAGAATTAATATTAACATCACTAATCTGTTCGTCCGGCGAACATTCAGTGTAATTTCATATCAACACTAAATTATATGTTCGTGGCCACAGAAAATAACTTTCTTACAGTTTTAATGCATTAGAGCATAACAAGATCCAGTTGTAAAAGGGACATCAATTTAAAAGCAGTGACGGAATCAGTGTCATGATCTCCTACTGGAGTGCCCATGTGCTCCTATAGAGGGCACTCCATCCAATATCTGTTACCTTGCCATTGTTTCACGGACTACATCTCCTATAATACCCCATGCCAGGAACTGATTACATCTACAGCTGTTTCCACTTAGAAGGACTATTTAAGTTTCACACATTCTGACTCACATTGCGAAGTAATGTTTAGCTGTTGCAGACTCTACCAAGTATTTTTCAATTGCCTTTGCCATAGCCTTGTTTCATTGTCTTGTTTATTTTGTACTTTGGACTGCTCACTTGGATTTTGACCATTGCCTGTTCATTTGGATTACTCTTTTGCCTTGTATTATATTGTTTGCCGGATTTTGACTTTGCCTGTTTTGACCACACTGCTGTGTTAATAAAGCTTCTATTTGGTTCTATCAAGTGAGTCCCGTTACAATCAGAAACGTCTCGGTTATGTATGAAACCCTCGTTCCCTGAAGGAGGGAACAGAGACATCACGTTGGGGACCGACGAATTGGAATCTCGCTTAGAGAGACCAATCCACTTTGAGTGTAATCTAAACGAGCCAATGCACATTGGCATGCGATGATTGCATCCAACTGCCGCTGATCACAGCGTGAGCATAAAAAGGCAGCCGGTGCAACGCATACCACGTTTTTGCTGAGGAGCCGAGCGAGTGACCCATCCGCTCAGCGGTGGTACAGCAGCCGTGGTGACGGGATGTGACGTCTCCGTTCCCTCCTTCAGGGAACGAGGGTTACATACGTAACGAGATGTTCCCTTTCAGTCGTTAACCGACGAATTGGGATCCCTACCAAAGCGCCATGGATGCTGCCCCTTCCAGTGTCCTGTGCGAACTGCCTGCACCCCTTTGTGGTGTAGGCCGGGGCTCGCAACAAGAAGACCAGTCACTGTTGTCATAGCACTAACCACTCAGTGAGATTGGATAACACTGGGAAAACGTACCCGTCCCACTTGGAACAGGAACGTTGTGGAAACCCCATCCTTCCCGAAGGAGGTTCCGGAAGCACTTACAAATATGACATCCGTTTAGGTGCATATAGAAGATTAGAGGTGATTGTAAACCTCATGGAAATGGCAGAAGGCTGCCGGGGAAACACGGGCTCTGAGGCTATACTGTGGAATTTACAGATATGAGAACCACTTAGGCCTCTACATATGGAAACCAGCCCTCTACGGTTCTCACGGATTCAGTTGGGCGTTCCGCCACGTCTGGCTACCGAGGGGACAGAGGAGCTCGACAGGGCCTACAGTATGGACACTCTGGAACTGTTTTAGCAAGCCGACACTAAACCGGGGCCTCTCAGCGCCTCTACCCGTTTGAGGGTAGAACACAGGAGGATACCGGCTCCGCACGAAGGCTATAGAATCTAGCAAACATGTTGGGGGTCGCCCAGCCCGCAGCTCTACAAATATCTGTCAGTGAGGCGCCACGAGCCAGCGCCCAGGAGGATGCAACACTTCTAGTAGAGTGAGCTCACAACCTGAGCGGGCATGGCACCCCCTGTGCCTGGATTACCTGGGAGTCAGCTGGCCCAAACTCTAGGCACGAATCGTTGACCGAAAATGAAGGTCCCCTACCCTCTTCATGGAGGCCAGTGCAAGCAGGAACAGAGTTTTCATTGAAATAAACTTTAGCTTGACTGAATGCAAATGCTCAAATGGGCCCTGCTGTAGTGCTTTGAGCACTAGAGACAGGTACCAAGAGAGTATAGAGGAGGGCCAGGGAGGATTTAACCTTCTCGCCCCCCTAAGGAACCTGATGACCAGATCATGCTTCCCTACTGACTTCCCATCCACGGGGTAATGGTTAGCAGCAATCGCAGGGACATAGACTTTAGGGGTGGAGTGAGACTGCCTTTGCTACAACCCTTGCTGCAAAAAGGAAAGCACGACCCCGATAGGGCATCTCCGGGGGTCTTCCCGACGAGAAGAACACCACTCGATGAACAGGTTCCACTTCAAGGCGTAAGCGTGTCTCGTAGACGGTGCTCTCGCCGAAGTGATGGTGTAAACTACCCCTTTGGGGTAGGTCACCAAGAACTTCCGCGTCCCATCCAGGGACCAGATATGAAGTTTCCAGAGGTCTGGACGTGGGTGCCACAGGCTCTGAGTCAGTAGATCCTTCCTCAGAGGAATCTGCAAGGTAGGGGCTGTCGCGAGGAGCAGTAGTTCAGGGAATCAGGTCCGAGTGGGCCAATATGGTGCCACAAGCAGGACCTGTTCCTCGTCCTCCCTGATCTTGCACAGCATCTGTGCGAGAAGGCTCACGGGGGGAAACGCATACTTGCGCAGAATGCGACGGGAGTGCAGATCACCTTGTCGGTTGATGTATGCAATGGTCGCCATGTTGTCCATTTGGACCAGCACATGCTTGCCTCGTAAGCACCCTTTGAGACGGTTCAAGGCAAGGCACACTGCTAACAACTCTAGGCAATTGATATGCCAGTGCAGTTGGGGGCCTGTCCATACCCCCGACATTGCGTGCCCGTTGTACATGGTCCCCCAGCCCGTGGTGGAGGCATCCGTGTAAGCCACAGCATGCCTGGAGACCTGTTCTAGGGGCACTCCTGCCCAGAGAAATGTAATGTCTGACCACGGAGTGAAGGTTTGGCAACAGGCCAATGTAACTTGGACCCGGTGAGTGCCGCACTGCCACGGCCACCTCGAGACTCGGCCATGAAGCCAGTGCTGGA